TATATCTTTATTGATTTCAGAGAGAGGAAAGGAGAGGGAGAGAGATAGATAGAAACATCAATGATGAGAGAGTCATTGATCGAGCCCACAACCCGGGCATGTGCCCTGACCAGGATTCGAACCCTGATCGCCTGGATCCTAGGTCGACGCTCAACCGCTGAGCCACGCCCGGCCAGGCCATTTTTTATTTTTTTAAATCCTCACCCAAGGACTGTCCTGAGGGTGGTTTTTTTTAATCCTCACCTGAGGATAAGTTTTTACTGATTTTAGAGAGAGAGAGAAAGAAAGATTAATGTGAGAAACATTGATTGGTTACCTCCCGCAGACACCCGCATCCAACCTGCAACCGCGGGATGTGCTCTGACTGGGAATCGAACCTGCCACCTTTCAGTGCACAGAACGGCACTCCAGCCGAGCCGCACTGGTCAGGGCTGTCCTGAGGTTTTTTCTGTTTTCTCTAGGGGAGGATTTTAGGGGAGATCCCAGGGGAAGATCTCAGCAGAATATTCATTAGCTCTCCAAGTGTGTCCTTGAGCTCACTGATGCATCAGAATGAGCTCGGTCAGTTTCACCTGTCTCGGGTCAGTCGTGCTCTAATTGATTTTCTGGCTCTAATTGTTTTTAATCCTCATTCAAGGATATTTTTTCCCATTCGCTTTTCAGAGAATGGAAAGAAGGGAGGGAGAGAGAGAAACATTGACCAGAGAGAGATACATCGACTGGTTGGGGCCGGGGATCAAACCCACAACCCAGATGTGTGCCCTTGACCAGGAATCAAACCTGTGACCCTTCCATGCTCGGGCCAAAGCTCTAACCACTGAACCACATTGGCCAGTGCTGAAATTGTTAATTGATTGTTATCTGTTTCCCTGACTAGGGTGATTTAAGCCATTCCCTCTTAGATATCTGTGGTTGGAGAGGAGAGATTTAAACCATCAGCTCCTAGGCATCTTTGGTTAGGGAGGATAGGGTCTTGTGATTTATTAGCTGGCTGCTAATTGCGCAGATGTTTGTTGACCTATTTGTCTCAATTTTATTTCACTTGCCAGGGAATTTTCCTAGTTTCTTACTAACCTGCCTCAGTACCAGTAGGAAACAGAACACAGAACGTGCCCGCCTCGCCTTGAGGAGAGGGAGATTGGCAACTTTTACTATCATGGGGCGGACTTCCTCTGTGCCCAGGAAAAACCATATTCTCAACCCACCTCTTGATAATAGAAAGGGAAGTTCTTACCACAATATACTGTTCCTTCGTGAGGCTCCACCGGTGGGCAGGAGTTCTGTGTACACTGCTAGGAGCTGTTGCTCTGTGGGGTATATATCTGGTTTCTGCCCCCTTCCACAGTCGGTACCAAAATGCTAGGGGAATTCTCTTCTTCTGTCTCTGCCACAGCACCCAACCCATGTCTTCTGGAGTCACAGACACATCTAACTCAAATGATAGCCCCACTTGGGGGATGCCCAGAGTTTTAATCTGCTTCACCAGTATTTTTTTTTCTCTCAAAGGTAGCTTGCTGGTCTGATCCCCAGTCCCACATATGTCCTTTCTTTACCAGGCAGTATAAGGGACAGAGGCACTATGCCAAGTGGGAAATAAAAGTCCCCAGAACTCCATGTCGTGGCCAGTGTTGCTCAGTGGTTAGAGCATCAGCCCACCCACAGAAGGGTCGAGGGTTCGATTTCTGGTCAAGGACATGTACCTGGGTTGCAGGTTCAATCCCCGGCCCTTGTCAGGGCACATGCGGGAGGCAGCCAATCGATGTGTCTCTCTGACATAGATATTTCTCTCTCTCTCCCTTCCACTCCCTCTGAAAATCAATGGAAAAAGTACCCTCAGGTGAGAATTAACAACAACAAAAAGTCCTCCAAAACTCCAAAATGGCTATAAAAACTTGTACCTCTTACATGTTCTTTGGTGTCAGATATGCCTGCACCTTATCAATCACAGCCTTTGGGAAAATGAACATCTTACCCAACCATGCAACTCCCAGAAACTTTATGGTGGTGCCTGGGCCTTGAATTTTCTGTGGTTTAACTGCCCACCCTCTTTCACTTGCAGATGTTCCAGCAAAGTTTGCAGTGTCCTGCACCAAAGGCAAGTTTTCACATGCCAACACTATCTCATCAATGTAATGAGCCCATTTTACTGATATGGGGAAGAACAGGGACAGGTCTCAGGCTACCATCTCATGACATTGTGGGGCTGGGTAGCCCTGGGGAAGCACTTGAAGGTCTATTATTTTTCCTTCCACATGAAGGCAAATTTATCTTGTGACACAGCAGCTAGAGATAGACTGAAAAAAGCATTTGCTAAGTCCAGTACAGCCTGGTACATTCCTGGGATCGTGGCCAAGTTATCTAAGATGGTGACAATGTTGGGCACAGCCACATGGGTGGGAGGCACCACCTTGTTCAATTCTTGGCAGTCCACAGTTATCTGCCATGAACCAATCGGCTTTTTTACAAGCTGTTATGCAACGTGCTGAGGTCCCAGAAAACCTCACTGTATTGTTCTTAGATTCCCAAAGAAGTAACTCAAAGGACTGGGTGTGAAAAACATTGGTTTATTAGGACTTACATGTGCACCGTGGAGGGCCAACTGGTGAAGTTGAACTGCTAAGTCCCATCCAGCCTGCAGACAGGTGCACCAGGGATGGCTGGCCCATGCTATTGTTTCGCCGCCACCCAGACTTTTCTAGTACCAGGTTTTATAGAGTACAGAAAACATAAAAACAGGGCATGCAGGGGAGGAGGATGGGTCTGTGTAAGATCAAAACTGCTAGCTGTTTTCTTGACTGAGGATCTGGTCAGGTTCCCAAGGTCTCACAGTCTACTTAGTGATGGCCTTCATTGTCTTCCCACAGGGTAGGAGAGGGAGTTGGAGCTGGGGAAGGGGCCCATGTTCCCATTTACCATACACAAGCCATACCAGGATATTAAAAGCACTGTGCGCAGGGCATACGCTACCCACTTGAACAGTTCTCAGATAGTTTCTCCTATTTCCTTATGCCCTCCACCCTAGGCAATTTATATTGTTTGAGTTACCACTCTTCCCAGCAGTGGTAGGCCTACTGGTTCCCAGTTGGCATTTCTCCACAGCACTGGTTTAATCACTCGAACAGGAGGCAGAATTCACCAACAGAGGGGTTGTATAGTCTTGTAGAATACCATTGCTTTAAATGGTCTCTGGTATTGGAGAGATAAAAAACTCATATTCTTTCTTTTCTCAGATACAATCAAAAGTTTATTTAGAAAATCACAGAGGTAAAAGAAGCAAGCAGAATTTCTCTAATAATTAGCATACCTATAGCAGGAGCTATTCACCTGAAGGCCATGGGAGAAATGCAGGCCAGAAATAAGACAGAGTCAGAGAGAGCATTTCATTCTGCTCAGGGAGGTCCCCCTCATTGGGCCAAGCCTCCCAGCAGAATAACATAATCCCATCTAGAAGGGAGTGAGAACCTTAAACCCCCTGGACACTATGCAGGCACTGCCGGAGGGCAGGGTGTGTGGTAACATTGCTCATTTTCTCTGCCTCCTGCAGGTCAGAAAAAAGCCACCACCCCACATATCCCATAGCTGCACTAACTACACCTGACACGCTCCCTGGCCTTTTGTGGGAAGCGGGCTGCTACATCAGTAAGCTGGGTAGGAGTTTACTCTCTTATCACAAACATTGCCTGAATTTGGGACTACCCAGTTGGCTGGGGTTGTTGCTACCGTTGAGGGGAGCAGAGTTCCCAAAATATGCCTTTGGAGATACTATTTTAAGTTCATTATTTTCAAGAAACAAAAGACTCAGGAAGAAACTTTGTCCTTCCTAACTGCCTAAAAGGAATTTAGAAGAGGACCTGCTCCAGGAAGGGTGAGACATCACAGATAACTATAGTTTACTGTGAACTAGGTGTGAAGGACAGGGAGGAAACTAGCAAGGCCCTTTTGATCAAAGTCCCATTGTTAAAGATGGCCCATCAAACACTTGTTTACCAAACATTTGCTTTTCCAAGTCCATGTGAATTGCCTTCTGACCCAAACCACAACTCCCCTTTCTTCTTAGCTCCAAATGGCACCTAAGGCCTCAAATGCCCAATCTGTCCTGGGGTCTCATGTTCTTATGGCACAATATAAATATGTAATAAAGTTGTCATATATAATAAAGTTCGTTGTTTTCTCCTGTTAATCTGTCTGGTGTTAATGTGATTATTAGTCTAGCTGGAAGAATTTAGAAGGGTTGAAGGAAAACGTATTTTTCCACCCCCACACTGTGCTTTTGCTTTTCTTGGGATTAAGGAGTCCAGTGGCATGGGTGCATCATCAATTTCCTCATCAGTGATCACAATACCCTCCTCTTCACTCATCACTTTCCCAGAGATTCTACCTCTTAGCTCCCAGTCACAAGTGCTTGGACCTCAACCTGAGCGAAACCCAGAATGGTGGCATAACTGTTTGAGAGGGAAAACCCACAAACTTTCTGTTTGCAGGGCCAGGACTAGAATGAGGAAAGTAAGGCACTCGCCTTGGTTGCAAAATTTAGGAGGGCACAGAAATTTTCTTGTTTTCCCGGCCAGACATGGCTCAGCAGTTGAACATCGACCTAGGATCCAGGAGTTAGGGGTTCAATTCCCGGTCAGGGCACATGCCTGGGTTTTGGGCTCGATCCCCAGCAGGGGGCGTGCAGGAGGCAGCTGATCAGTGACTCTCATCATTGATGTTTGTATCTCTCTCTCCCTCTCCTTTCCTCTCTCTTTAATAAAGACATATTTTAATAAAAAAATAATTTTTTTCTTGTTATTATCATCCCCATTTTACAGCTGTGGAAACTGAGGCTGAGAGGAAATTGCTTGCCCAGAGTCCCAGAGGGAGGCAGGACTGTTCACACATAGCCTTGGCCTCTGAACTGCAATTGTGGCCCCAAGCTGGCCCTAAAGTTTCAAGGCCAGCACAGTGTGGCTCAAATAAATCAGCTTTACCCAGGGCTGTGTCTTTGTACCTGGGGTCCTGCTCTGGAAGGGGGGGCCCTGCTCATGGTACACACAAGCTCCTTGGGGACTCTTCAAGATCATCCCTCATCCCTTGTCATTTGGCTGTTGAGTGGCTTTAAGCAGTCTAGGCAGAAGGATATCCCTCTTCTGACACCCTCCGTGACTCCCTATGGTCCCCTCTGAGACAACAGGAGGGATGCTAAGTGAACTCCTGCTGGTTCACTACAGAGACCCCTGAACATGAAACCCGGCGTCTCAGGTGAGACCCTGGTCCTGCCTACCCCCAGTCCACCACTCACTTCTCAGCCTCAATTTCCCCAGCTGGGGACAGGACCAATGATGGCCTCTGCCTCTTCAAGTCCCAGTACACAGGAACACAAGACTGGAATGCCCTAGGTTTTCAGTAACTGCAATTCTCATCCTCAGAAACACAGCAAAGGGCAGGGACTTATGATGGGGTCTCCCCTCCCACAAGAGCTCATGGGCCAGGACCCTGCCTGGAAGGGCCAAGGCCATAATTAGCACTAACAGGACATTTCTGATAAATGAAAGTGAAAGCTAAAGCGTCCTCTTCCGCAGACAACTCATTCCAGAATCTCTCGGCCAGCTCCCCTCCTATGCTAATGAAGGGGCGGGGCGGCTCCAGGCCTTAGAAGGTTTCAGCTTTCTTTCCAGACTTCCCACAAACTCCCTACACCCCACCGGATGACAGGCACCTTGTACCACCACTCGCCTGTGCCCATGGATGACCGCTCAAATAATCTGATGCTGTGGTGCCACAGGTGGCTGAAGTGGCTACTGGTGATCCCAGTTATGGTGGTTCTGATTGTCCTCGTGATCATCTTAGCTAACAGGCTCAACAGCATCACTTGCAAGGATGTCCTCGGAGCTGAGCAGGAGTGTCAAAACATCACTTACCTGGAGCACCAGCTGAACCAGGCCCAGAGAGTCTTACTGGAGACTAATGCCACTTGCAACCAGACTGTGGTAAGCCACTATCACTCCTAGAGAGGGCCCTGTGCTTTGGGGAACCCCGGGGTCTAGGTGGAGACTGAGATAGACCTTGAAACTGCCCCTCGACCCCTATATCAGGAACCTGAATTTCCCCACCAGGGTTTTGGGGAGCTCTAAACTCTCTCTGGGGTGATGGTATGGGGTGGGGCCTTAAATTCCCCAGAGCACCCAAGTAAGGGGCCTCAGTATCCCCACTAGGATGTGGATGAATCTCCAAACTCCAGAACATTGGTCTGGGGGAGCTAGAAACTCCCCCTGGGCATAATCTTGGGTAAGCAGAAATACCCTCTGGGGGTTCATATGGGGACCTCACCAGACTCTGAAGAAGGCAGGAGCTCTTCTCTCTTTTTTTTAAGCTTTTACTTATTTATTTTTGTTTTTATTTATTGATTTTAGAGAGAGAGGAAAAGGGGGGAAGAGAGATTGATTTGTTGTTCCACTTCTTTATGCATTCATTGGTTGATTCTTAGTATGTGCCCTGAGCGGGGATTGAACACACAACCTTGGGGTGTGGGGATGACGCTTTAACCAACTGAGCTACATAGCCAAGGGCAAGGCAAAGACTCTTGATACTTCCATAGCATCCGTAAGAGGCTGGAATTTTCACTTGGGTCTTAACATAGGGGTCCTTGAAACTCCCACTAGACATCTAACTTGGGTTCAGACATCCCACTGTGTTCTGGGTTTGAGGGAACCTCTAGCCCAGGGGATCTGGAAATTTCTTGTAAGGTTTCGGCATGGAGAGCCTCCAAATTCCTATGGAGGGGCAGGGCTTGAAACTCCCATTTCGAGGATCACACCCCTTTCAGTGGCCCTGGGAGGGTGGGAGGTTTTGACCATTTTTCAAGGTGGAACACAGGTTCAAAAAGGATTGGAGGGAACCCTGAAAGGGGTTTGGACCCAACCCCCTCTGACCCCAGAGCCTGGGGAGGGGGTCAGGGCCAGAGACAGTAGCCTACCCTGCCTGGGACAGAACCCCAGTTTCCAACACCCTCACCCTTCCACCACATCCCAGGTGACCCTGATGGATTCCCTGAAAATGGAGCAGGCTCAGGGCCACAAGCAACAGCAGCTAGTGCAGAAGCTTCAAGGTGAGAAAAACACAAAACCCCAGGTTCCATTAAGACGGTTTGTTGGAGCAGTCAGGTTTTGAAGAGGAGGGAAGAGGGAGGGTCCCAGAGTTGGGATAGGGAGAGAGGGAGGGGACCAGAATCCAATGGAGGTAGGAAGGGGGCATGCCAGATATCCAAGGTATACTAGGATGAGGGTGGGGCTAGAGGTGGGGTCCTGTCTCAAGGTGGAGCCAGTTCAGGGTTATGGCTACTGTGTGACACACTCTCTGTCCCTCCTTAGAGGAGATCAAGGAATTGAAGCAGAATGTGCAGAACACATCCATGGAGCTGGAGAGACTAAGGTTTGGACACCTACCCACTCCAGGCCACGTGCCCCTGCCCCTCCAGCCCAACCCCAAGACCCAGGATCCCCTTGGCTGGGAAAATTCCCATTGCTCTGGGGACAAAGTTTGAGTCCCAGCCTTGTCCCTCTAGTCACCCAACCATGGGTGACAACTGCCCACTCTCCTCCCCAGTGACTGGTGGGAAAGGAGGAAAGATTCTGAGGGGGCAACAAGCCCAATACTAGTGGAGTCAGGCCTGGCAGCTGCCTGAGTTATCCCCATCTCCACCCCAGAAAATGGAAAGAGACTTCAGGCAGGGAAGAAGACTCCACCAGCTCCGGGAACACCTTCAGCCTCTGCATGGTCATTGTGCTCCTGCCCCTGACACTCGAAGTTCTGCTGGCCTGAGGTCCCAGGAAAACAGACAGCCGGTAAGGAGGGAGAGCTGGAGAGGGATGGGAGGGAGGGAGGGACAGTCAGGGCCTGGGATGGTGGCCTGCCTGCAGCATGGAGGGCTGGGCACTGAGGAGAAGGGAGGGAGAGAGAGGAAGCTCAGCGAGGAGGGAGGGGTCCAGGAGTGGGAAGAAGTTTATGGAGGGTGTGGGGCTCATGTTCTGTCCTGCTCAGTTCCTCCCTGAGTCCCTTTTATTGTCTCTTAGGCCACAACCTGGACTCATCTGTTTCCATCTTGGTTTCCCGGACCTGTCCAGTTCTGATTGGCAGCACGGTTGGGGGGAGGGGACGGCTGGGGAGAGGG